AACTTCAGAAATGAACAGTGATAAGGGAACATCTCAAATAAGTGCAATTCCTTCTTCTTCACTATATTTTGTTGGAAATTTTAGTTTCCTCTACTATCTCTATTACAGATAAGCATGGGGAGATAAATGTAATGTAGTGGAAACATGAATGTGCAGATTAATAAAGTAAATCAACCATTTTTATAGAAACAGAATTGAAAGTCTGCCTAGCTTATTTCTGCCTCAGACTTTTGGTGATTAAGAATAGCATGGGAGTATCATTTTTTCTTAGAATTGATGCTAATTCTCCAAAAATGTCAGATTGTTGTCAAAGATACTGGACAGAAAATATCCTTTTAAAATCGTCCTTTTGTGTATTTATTTGGTTTGTTTCTATGACTATAGAGGTTTCAAGATGCATACATATTAAATATTTCATTAAAAACTACAAATTGCACTTTTTTAGCAAGTATGTATTACTAACATATAGATAAGAGATGGGACGGTGTTCTTTTGCTATTTTAATTGAGTTATTAAGAATTTCTTATAGTTTGGACATCTATTCACACTCCCCAAATCAATCATTATCCACATTCTTTTCTTTTGCCCTCCTGTCTTTGTCATGGTCAACTTCTTCCCTTTCTTCCTCTTCTTTCACTCTCTACCATTTTACTCCTCTTCTTCTCTGTTTTCTTATTCTTTTCCATTCCCATCATGCATAATCTGATACCCCATATTCTTGGATGCTTGGTCTACAACAAACTAGTCAAATTTGTATTTTTTTCTTCTTTTAAATTTAATGTAGAAGGAATCTTATTTTACATGTCATTCCCAGTTCAATCTCCCTTCCATCCTCCCAAGCCCTGCACCAATCACCTCATCTCACCTCCATCTACTCCACAGCAATTGTGAGGCCTTCCTTGGGGAATCATCAAAGTTTGTCATATCATTTGGGGAAGGGCCTAGGCCCTCCCCTGTGTATCTAGGCTGAGAGAGTATCCACCATGGGAAATGAGCTTCCATAGTTCATTTGTGCACTAGGGATAAACACTAATTCCACAGAAGTCCTATAGACTTCCCAGACCTCCTAACTGGTATCTACATTCAGAAGGCTTGGTTCTGTATAATGCTGGTTCCCCAGCTTTATGACTGGGAACCATGTACTTCCACTTGGTCATGTCAGCTGTTTCTGTGGGTTTCTCCAGGATGGTATTGACCCCTTTGCTGTTCACGCTTCCCTTTCTACAACTGAATTCCAGGAGTTAGGTTCAATGCTTAGCTGTTGATGTCTTCTTCTTCTGCTTTCATCTGCTAATGGAGGAAGGCTCTAGGACTGCATTTAGTTTAGTCATCAATCTTATTATAGGGGAAAGGTTTTAAAAGTAGCCTCTCCACTATAGCTTAGATTCTTAGTTGCGGTCATCCTTAATGAAAGAAACATATGAAAAGAAATAAAAGGTTAATGACAAATTTTTGGAAATTCTAGGTGACCAATAATACTGGAATTTTAGATTAAACCTAGAAACTGACTTAATAATTTTATATTTAAAAGATAAAAAAATTGTTTACTAAGTAAGTTTTAGAATAATTCATGAAAGTGAGACCCTCGAGGACATGTGTAAATGTGGAGACAGCATTCCTTTCTAAACAGTCATGCTGAAGAACACGTGAACTACATATACTAAGTATTATACAAAGTCAATATACAACTGATTTTCATCATACTCCACTAATATTTTATTAATGTACATAGCCAATCAGATATACAAATTTGGATGTAAGCTTTTGTGTGCTTTAGTTTTTATAGATGGGAGTGTTCTGCATTGCTATCTGAAGCCTTTTTGATATTCATGGCCTGTATTACCACCAAAATTCATGCACATGTCTGTGGTCTATGTTGCTGCCTGAAGCTGAGTTGATATCCAAGGCCATGCTGCACTGGGGGCCATGTTGATGTGAATAGTCTGTGTAGCCACTTAAGGTCAGGTTGATGCCTCTGGGCTGCCCTGTCTTTGGGGATCATATTGGTATTTGCCTTGGGTTTCCCTGGCCATGTTGATGTCTTTGGCCTGTACTGCCATTGAAGACCATGCTGAGTCCCATGGCATATGATAACTCCTGAGAAAATGGATGTCTGTGATCTGGGCTGTTTCCAAATACCATGTGGAAATCCATGACCCACGTTCCCACTGATTCTAAAGGGCAAGGAATTTACTTTTACAGCAGTATCAGTGACTGGTGATTCATAATTGAGAAAGAGGGGTAAAGAAATAAGGCTACTGTGTCAACACCAAACACACCCCACACCCTCAAAAAAGTAGTTGTCTAGATATGAAGCAATGGAAATGAATTATTAATAATGTGATATGAATGTTGAAGTATAGCTCTCCACAAATTATGCATTCTGGTGTGGGTACAGGTGGCAAGGGACTCAGAATTCTTTAAAGGATTGACCATTTGGAATTTGAGGATGGGGAAGAGACTACATGGGCAACATAAATTGGATTTGTTTTGCTTTGTTTCTTCTTTGTTGTTTTCTTCTGTTTTTCTTGTTCTTTTTTTTCCATGGGGGAAATGACACAAGTGTGGAAGGATAGACTTGAGAAGACTGGGAAGAGAGTGTGATGGGGCTGCTTGATGTGAAAGTCCCAAAAGTCAACAAAAATACTATTTTGAAAAAAACATTATTTTCTACTATTTAGGTCACAGATATATTTTTTCTTTTCTTCACATAGTATCAATTAGAACTAGGAGAGCTACTGCAGAGGTTTCACTAAGCCATATTCATATCTCTGATATTTCTGCTAATGATAATTTCTTCTTTTGTTCACTGAGCAGAGGAGACTACATTCTGGGGACTAAAATTATAAGTGTTTTTATATTAAAATTAACATACTAACCAAGTGCAGATTGGATATCAGAATCTAAATATTCTGCTCTGTAAAATCCTATTTCTATTGGAGTTCTTTCAGTGTAAGAAAAAATACACATGCTCTTTTAACAATCACAAGAAAATATGATTCAGGACATGAAGTTTCAATATCTTCTACAAGAATCATGCTATTTCCACTTGGTTTCAAGGTCACAGGAAATGAAAGTGTTATTATTATGTGACCTGGTGATGCCTTCTTTTAAGTTTTCTTGCTATATATAAAGTGTTTCAAATATTATTCAATGTAATATATTTTAATAGGAAATATAATTATGTGTACACACAGGTCTCTTAGGATAATATTTTTGTCGTGAACACCCTGATTTAGATCACTTTTCTTTCTCATATCCAGGAGAGGAATAACAATGAACCTGAGCTGCATAAACAATGTTTTATTTTGTGTTACTTACATTTACTAGTTATAGACTTTTAAACATCCTAAACAGTGGTTCTCTACCTCCCTACCACAGTGATCCTTTAATACAGTTCCTCATGTTATAGTGACCCACAACCATAAAATTATTTCATTGCTAATGCATAACTGCCATTTTGCTACTGTTATGAATCATATTGTAAATAACTGATATGTACTAAATCAGTTATGTGACCATGTGTGTTGAGAATCACTGGTCCTAATTCTCACTGAAAAATCTGTCAGAGACAGAGACTAACCCCAAGTTTATAAGAAGGAAGGAAATGCATTGTAGGATAAGAAAATATATCTGGTGATTTTATAAAAGGACTTAGTGAGCATGAAAAGTATAAAGTTATTAATAGGTTGAGCAAATAAAAAGTATTATTTTACATAGAAGTGATATTTTCTCACATTCCTATAAATTATAATTCATACTCTTGGTTTAGAATGCAACAAATTATAACCACAGTATATAATCCATACTACCATACTAGATGTCAGTTTAGATGCACAAGATTCACATCAACATAAGAAAAATAATTTAAAGCTGGAAACTTTTAATACTTTTATCAAAGAAGATATTAGAAAAACATGCTACTCTCAAAGTACTAAATCATTCTTTTCATTTACTTTTCAAGTGAAGGGATATGTTTTCATAGTCATTCCCAACACCAGCTGAAAGAATTTGGTCATGTATTCAGAGGGAAGAAGTGCAGTGAATCTTCAAGATATCCAATACAAAGCTATGGTCTAAACACATTCAAATATACATTTCATAAAGCACAAATTATATTTAAGATACAAGTATTACCAAGCCGATAAGTAGGATTTTCTTTACCTAATAATTAACATCTGTTCTCCTGTAACTTCAATATTTTTACTGATTTCTCAAATCATAAAAAAAATAATCAACATCTGTTTTATTGTAGTATTAGACATTTTTTTCTTCCTTTTCAATGACGACCTCATTTGTATATCACAATAGAATAAACACAAAACAAGGCAAATTTTGTAAAAATACTTTGGCAAGCTGGTTAAACATATTAAGTTATAATAAAGTAACTGTCTAAGCCTTACATTCCTATGGCATTTTATTACTTATTAAAGAATTTTGTATAATGTTTTGATCATATTATCATATTCACACCCCTTCCAAAACTTCCCCTCAGTTCCACCCTGGAATCTTTTCTTTCTTTCTTTCTTTTTTTTTTTTTTTCTTTAAATCCTTCTATTTCAATTTGTATTGTCCCAAATGTTCCTATATTTGAGGCTTTCTGCTAGAGATGACCTATGAAGGGATTCATTTTTATTTGGTGTGCTCTTCCCTGGGGAGAGCCATCTCGCCTGCTACCAGCTTTGCTCAGTTGCTTGTAGTTATTTGTGTAAGATTTAAAGTAACATGAAAAAGGAGTATATATTGGGTGTTTTAAAAGGAGAACAGGAAATGATAAATGTTTTAATAAAATACAATATAAAAATAATCAAACAAACACAAAAGAAAACTTACTCTTCCTCCCCAGACAGCTACCAATTTTCAGTAGCCCCTTAGGTAGAAGTGAGATTCATGCTGTTTTCCAAGCTGCTTGTTTTTGTTTTTGTTGGTTTTCTTTTTAGTTTGGCAAGTTGTGACTGTTTATTAACTGACCATATTACAAAAATACCACAGGCAGCACCTTAGTTCATCCTTCTAATAAGCCTGTTTATCTGGTCTTCCATGTTGCCAGCATCACCACCTTCCACAATGTCAGTGGTCTTTTTCTTCATTCTACCTTGTGGAGAAGACAATTTGAAGGGCCACAGGAAGTTGTTGCCTTCCTTGAAGCCTTTTCCCACAGTGGAGATCTCATGGATCAGATCCTCCTTGAAGATAATGACATATTTAACAAGAGATCGAGCAATCAAAGAATTGCCCATCAAGGCAATTCTCTTCTTATTGATTTTGCCATAGCCACACTTGTAGATGAGCTTGTTTACTGATTCCAGGTTGGGGTACCTGCATGCAATGTATGGTTCCATGATCCTCAGCATGTTAATCGAAGACCTGTTGAGCTTAACAAAGGTGCCACTGAAGATTTGACGAAGACAGAGCATCTGTAACACCTTGAATACCTTTGGGCTCACACCATTGATACCTCGAATTCGGATGAGGAATGCCAGCTTGGATTTTGCAGGCACATAGAAATTTCTGGCTTTCCTTGCCATCCTAGCCATGTGAATCTCCATCCGGTACAACTGCCTGTATTCCTTGCGATGATGCTTTGCCTTTTCATAGATGAGCTTCCTCCGTGCCTTCCAGATGTGTCTTTAGTGCAAACTTTTTCCAAAAGTGCTTCACCTTCAGCTCTGCGAAATTCCTTGGCTTTTTCTTAAGAGTTTCTGGCACAGCAGGAATCTTCTTTTTCTTTTCCAGGGCTGCCTCCATGGCTCCTTCCAGGGGGGAGGGGGAGAGGAATAAAGGATGGTGGTGTTTTTCTATCAGATATCTATAATATAATTTTGTCCTGCTTTGCTTGAACCTCATCATAACCAGATCAGTGACACTGTCTAAATTCTTCACTGATATCATTGCCCAGGAAGCATATATTATACAACCTCAGAACTGTCAGCAAAGTCTTAGAATGGAACCTATCTTTGTTCCTCATAAAACCAGGAATTTATCAAATACAGAAAAAAGTAACACCAAGAGAGTACTTAGGAATTAATAAGAAGCAGTAGTGATTCAGGGGACCTAATTTTCAAAAAGAAATGTAAAACATTGAAGGAACATGTGCGATTCTTTTCTGCCAAGTGGATACAGATGAGCATGCAGAAAATTGAGATCCTCCACATTCCCTAGGCTAGGATGAGAGGATGATGCGCACAAACTGATCTACTGGGGAACACTTTAATCAATGACAGCACAAATCTCATCTGATGAAGCTGCCTATAGTCCATGCACTGTGTACTTTGAAAACTATATATGCTAGAAAAGATAGAGCAATGAATAAATATGTTGTTAATTTGACTAGACTTTATACTCACCTAAAACACACACCTCTGGGAAAGTCTGTGAAGGCAACACCAGAAAGAAGTAACAGAGGAGGTAAACACAACCCTGAGTGTGGCCACATCATCCCACACATAGAGTCCTGAATGAAAGGAAGAAAATAAACTGAACACTGGAATTCAAAGTCCTCTGCTTCCTGACTATAAAAACAAAGTGAGCAGCTACCACACATGTCTACCATTACAGCTGAACTGTACTTGTTGCTAAGCATTCCCTATCATGGTGAACTCTATCCTCACACCAGAGACAACATAGATGATGCTGTTTAAGGAACTTTAGTTATTTTACACAGCAGTGATAAAAGTAACTAGCATAGTATGAAAGTTGTGGATCTGGATACATTAGAGAGAGAATTGAAAGCATTGTAAGAAGCCACTAAGTATGATTTATAAATAACCAAATATATCAACAAAATGAAAGATGGAAATCACATGTATATGTTATCATTGAGTGAAGTGTTCGCAAAATGGAAAAAAGAATATATTATGACCTATCCATCTAAAAGAGGGTTTTTGGTAGTGTGAGATTTCCCAACCAGTTCTGCAGCCACCTTGCCCCAAATGAACACACAGATGTTATATTAATTATGAAGTGTTGGCCAGTGACCAGAGTTTCTTATTGGCTAGCTCTGTCTTAATTATTAACCCATTTCTAATAATCCATGTGTTTTCACGTGATCTTTCCTTACTGGGGAATGCCGACCTCCAACTCCTTTGTGTGCTACATGATGACTTCTCAGCATCACTGCAGAGAAGAGAGCGATTTCCTGTTTGTCCCTGCTTATATCCTAATTCTGCCCACGAATGTCACTTCCTGTCTGTCTGTACAGACCTCTAGACCTTTATGGTTAGCTATTGGCAAGTTTCTGCTCAGCTATGTCACTTTCTGTTTTGCCAATAAGCCAATCAGTGTTTTATTGATTAACCAGTAAGAAACCATATATGCAGAAAGACTTCCACCCCATCAGTCTATATCTAAGGTTTACCAAAAACTAAAACTCTCAGCATTAAGAAACTAACAAACCAATTAAAAAGTGGTCTGTGACACTAGATAGTTCTCAAAAGATGAATTGCAAATTGCTGACACATAGGTTTAAATCGTTAAACATCTCTAGCAATCAGCTAAATACCCATTAAAACTATATTTAATTTCTATTTTACCTGTGTCAAAATGGCTACACTAAAAAAATTATAGTTTCTGATCTATATGTGCATGATGGGAAACACTCACTGCTGATGTAAGTACAAACTGGTTAAACCATTATGGAAATAATTTTGGAGGTTCCTCATAAAGCTAGACATATATCTACATATGATACAGATCCAACTACCCAATTAGCAGGCATAGTCCCAAGGGACCACACATTCTAGGATGTTTATCCATATACTTTGCTGCTCTTTTCACAGTAACTATAATATAGAAACAGCTTAGATATTCATTAACTTGTGTTTGGATAATGAAAATAGAGTACATGCACATGGCAGAATATTAATCAGCATTAGAAAATTGAAATTATTTTGTAGATAAGTGCATAGAGATGTAAAGGATCACTGAGAGTAAAATTACCAAGAAACATTAATACAAATATTAAATGTTTTCTCTCACATGTGAAAGAAAAAATTAAATCTTTAGGCATGTGAGTTTAAATTGGAATACCCATAAGAGATAAAGGGTAAGTAAATGACTATTCTGTGTTTGATTTAAAAGCAGGAAAATAGAACACAGATGGAACATAGAGGAGAAAGACAATAATGGAACTGGAAAGATTAACTATGTTTGGTGATGGAAAGGCATGACAGAGAAAAATTATGAGGATGAAAGACTAACACTAAGATGATTTGGGAAAGCCATGTAGAACCCTCTATGGATTAAATGTAGTTACCTATAATGGGGGCACAAACACTCTTCATATGCTATCAAACAAAAAGCCCACTGTTGAGAATAGGTTACCTCCTCTAGAGTTGTTGGTCAATGGGGTTTCACCAATCCTAAATATTTCATGATATTGGCATTGTACTTGGTTAACAATCATAACTTGGTGGCAAGCCCCTATACCTGAAGACACCACATGCTTTACTCATTTTCCATGAACTAATCAAGCTGGAACTTACCTAGAAACTTCATGTCTCCTCAATAGCTGGGCCAAGGTATTTATGGTACTGGTGAAACAAAGAAATAAACAGTATTACTCAGATATAAATATTGTGAACTTGGAAAGATAGACCCACTGACACAATAGAAGTAGAAATGTTAATGGAATGACCAATCTTTCATATTGGATTTAATGAATGCTTTAAATCACAGAATTCATTCCTGTTACTATTAACTGAGTCAAAAACTTGTGGTTGGTTAGGTCATAAACGTTAGTGAAAAATTCAATACTATTTTTTTGTTAAAAAGACATAGTAACACAATTCTGCTCAGTTCTTATCTTTATGTAAAGAGTAATGTTTCTTTGAGTCCTCACAAGAAAAATTCCCTATTACACTAGATGATGTTTAGCACAAAAACCTACAACTGGTCAAAATGCAAATAATAAGAGATTGTGGAGTCATCAGTTCTAAATGAAATCCCCAGTTCTAAATGCATATCCCCAGGATTCGGGAATCATTCCAGAAAAGGAAACAAAAAGATGTTAGTAACCAGCTGTAGTGGACTTCTTCATGGAAATGGTACTTGCTCCACATGACAGTACAGCCATGAACTTAAAATCTACACAAGATCAAGCCAGCCAAAATATCAGAATGGAAAGAAGGCAGGTGAAGGGTTCATGGATTCTCCACCCTAGGGAAAACTGTTGTCAACTGGTGGATACTGAGAAATGGGAGTCAGTTTTCTTCAGAGATGGGGCCTCTGATGTGATAGATACACTTGCTTAATAGGTTTTGCTACTTCCAAAAGTATACAAAGAGCACTAAGTAGAATCATGGCGTTGATTTAAAAGAAAAAAAAAAGAAAAGAAAAGGAACACATGAAGTTTGGAGGAATAAGCGGTGGGGAGTCTAATGAATAAGTCAAAAGGGAAGAAAAGTTGGACAGATTTGATCAAAATGCATTATATTTATATATGAGATTCAAAAAAAATTAAAAATAATACGTTAAAAAAGAAGAGATGAAATTAGATGCAAGTTAATGAAACATACCAGGCCCAGAAAGAACTATAAATATATATATAAACATATATGTATATATATTTATATATATATTCTGAGCATACTCCACATGAACACAGGACAGTTAGTGTTAGGGAATGGAGAAGGATGTAAGATACTTGATAAGAGGCACTAAAGTATGTATCAACTTAGTAAGTCCTAGAGTCCTTCATCATAGTCCAGTGGCAGCAGCTCACAGCATATTGGTGTCAAGGAAAGAAAACAACTCACAGACAAAACAAAAGGTCATTTTCAGGAGATGAAAACATAAATTACTTTTAAAATAATGATTACAGCATGTGTTCATTTGATGTATGCTCTTTTAATGTGCACAGCTAAAATAGCAAAATTTATCAAATGAAATATTTACATGTAATACATGAAAACATGATAGGATAGCAATAATAAAATTCAGGGATATTTCTCTTGAAGAAGTTAATTACAATAAAGTATTTTTTGATCATTATTCCAATAGACCACAGAAGAAAAGCAAGAAATTGTTTCAGACAGCAGACACACTGTTTCTGACTAGAAAAAAAAAATCAAATATGTTGCAAAGGCAATCTCCAGATTAGAAAATGTATAGGCAAAATGTTCATCTGGCAAAGAGTTTTAACAAAATGTACAAGGAATTTATGCAAACCAATAATAAAATTATTAAACCCAAATTAAAAAATAAAAAGACAATGAACTTAAATAGGCAATGCAAATGATGAGCAGTCACTTAAAGAACAGAAAGTGTCTTGAAAATGCTAACCATAATTCCTTAGTGTTTTGAAGGGATTTTCAGAGAGAGAGAATCTGTTATGATAATCATGATCAAAAAGAAAAAACATAGTGGTGTTTGTAAGGCCATAGAAATGGGGTGTTCCATGTACTCCAGGTGAAAATGCATAGTGGAATGCATCCTATGGAGAGAAACAAGTTAGGAACAGAAAACGACAGCAAGAGTTCACTCATATACAAAACCTAAAATCTCAGGGGACTTGAGAATACAGTGAATGGTATTACCAGAGTCTTGACAG